AGGAAAAAAAACATCAAGTAGTTATGATATCAATGCAGGTGTTTATCAAACTTGGGCAATTTCTTGCCTGTTTTAGAGAGCCCTGGTGAAGTAACGTGCCGTTCTTCTGGGATCGTTTGGGGAAGCCAGCTCCGTATGCTGTGCTTGCAGAATGATGCCAGCTGTGCAGAGTTGCCCATTTTCATAAATGATTAACTTAGGAAAAGTTAAAGCATAATTAGTTCCTCAGAACCTGAACACGCATCTGAGGCTGCTGTGGTAGAAGATGGGGAGACCAAGGGATCTTTCCACACCTTCAGGTGACATCTGCACGGTGGCTGATAGCCCTGGCAAATGGTTGTGCTTCTGGAGGGAGGAATATTTCCAACAGCTCTATGAAAAAGTCAAAATCTGACCTTCTGTTAATGATGTGCCTGCCTAATAAACTGGTTTAATGGTTTTCCTTTTAATTTTTAAGTTGCTCAAGAGAAGCCAGAGCAGATCCCACTGGAGAACCGCTCCTGCGTCCTCATACGACGGGATCTAGTTGCTCTCCCAGCCAGTCTTATCAGTCAAATTGGATACCGTTGCCACCCAAAACTCTACTCAGAGGGAGATCCTGGAGAAAAACTCGAGCTCGTTGCAGGTAATGAAGGAGGGAAACCTTTCTTTGCTTGAGTTTCCCTGGGATCGATGGTGCTTTCCTTCTTGAAACGTGTTCTTCGTGTTCCACTGCTACTGAAGTCTTGTGTGCCCTTGCTGTGTCTTTCTGGATTATTCATCACCAATCAACTTTTTAAAAGTTCTGAGTTAATTTGCTGATAGAAAAATGTGTCATTAACAGGATTTATTCAATTGAATTAATTTAGCATTTTGATTGAATTCTGCAGCTTGTATTCTTCCTGACTGGTGTGGGTTACATCTCAGTCGTGTTTTGATTTAGATGCACAGATCTGGAAATCAAAAAAAAAACCAACAAAACCTATTGGATTATAAGATTTACAAAGCAATGGAAATAAAATTTATGTCAGCAAACAAGCTCTGAAAACCTTGTAAAAGGTTTTTAAAAATTGGGGGTGTTACTAAATGCCCAAACGCTGCAGTAGAAAGGAAGAGGGGGAATTGGGTTTGGTCCTCTTTTTTTCTAGCTTTATTTTCATTTTGGGAGGAATTTACAACATTGGGAGAATTTGCTGCTTCTCTATAAAGGATTTATGGCCAGCTTGAGGTGGAAGATGGTGCTATTAGCTCTCAATGGTCCTGGTGTTGTATTGCTGGATAAAGAGTGAAATCAGGTGGCTGTGCCAGCCTGCAGCCCGGGTACCCTGAGATGATATTGGAGATCTATCAGGAGCTGGATATTTGACTGGGCTGTCCAGGTCCAATCCCAGTTTAAATAATTACATTCTGCTTTCATAAGTTTCCCCAGCTTCACTTAGCTGCCGTGGTCCTCTCTGCTTATAGCTCGTGCTGCTGGGAAGTTTTTTCTCTTGGATATAATCTGAATTTCAAGGGATGCCCAGGCAGGTTTCCATCTGATGGAGGATGGGGCTTTGATGGAAGGCAGAAGTAAAACACACACACACCACAGCCCGGCGTACAACCACAAGTATTTATTTTGTATCTGGAATATTCATTTTGTACCCATTTACATTTTCTGTGAGACTTCTTAAAACCATCAAGTGGTGCAGGTTATTTTCACAGTGAGAGCAGCAAATTGGCTTGAGGCAGCTCTGCTTGATTTACATTTTTCAATCTGGAAAAAAAGTAGATTAATATCACTAACTGATAGTGGCTGCCTGGGTTATTTTTGATTTATTGAAGTGGAGTTACCCTGGGTGGTGTCTGGCATTCCCTCTGATGGCTTATCTCTTAAAATACCACTGCTGAAGAAAGTAATTCCTGTCTCAAACCTGGGGAGACCTGAGGAGAGGCATGACCCCAGAGCATGAAGGAGAATCCTGCAGCCCAACTTCTCCTTAATTCTCCATTTGGAGTATTTTCTTCTTCTCTCTGATTTTTTCCATGCTGTGATTGATTCTGGAAACTTAGCAGCTCTCTCCAAGAGGGTCTTCAACAAGCCTTGCAGTCATCCTGGTACATCTGATGGACAGATACCTGGCGAGAAGCAGGGTGGATCAGAGGTCTAGAGCACTCCTTGTGGTTTTCTGGGCCAGGACCAGTGGTCTGGGCTGCCCGTGGTGGCAGGGAGGTGCAGGCAGCTGCTGGCCCTGGGCAGAGGGTCAGGCTTGGGATGGTGCTGGGAACCTGCCCTGGCTCAGCCCACTTGGCCTGGGCTGCTCTGCAGCTCTGTCTTCATCCAGAAGATCAGGGACAATCATCTGTAGGCTTTCCTAGAAATCCAGGAGGTCATTTGATTTCTCCAGTAGATGTTTTTGTATTTTGAGAGCAGTGTGTGCTCTGGATCCAGGTACGACCCATTATTTAATCTTAATTAAAAACAAATACCAAAACCCTCTGATGTAACAGTACACTTGGAAACCAGGCTAACGTCCCCTGCAAGCTGATGCTGAGGCAGGAGCAGCTGGGTCGAGGTGAGCTGTGTGCAGAAGAAAAGGAGGTGATAAGAAACCTGCTGTAAAGTGCTGCCAAACCCCTGGACATGTAAAGCTGCTTTGGCAGGGGCTCCTTTTTCTTCTGGAGAGCATCCTTAAGGCAGGGTTTTTCAAAGTCAGCAGTTCCTGTGCATTAGAAGGAAAATTCTCTGCTCACCAGAAGTACAAGAGGTGATGGGCTGGGGTTTTTGGAAGCACTTAGATCTGTAGTGTAACTGGGTCCTTTCCTGTGCTAGACGGGTTTTTTTCTTTTCTTTCTAGTTATATGTTATACAATCTTTCACTGGAGAAACAAAAAGGCCAATTGGATTGGGGTTTTCTTCCTTCAGAAGGAATAAATAACCTGATCTGTACATATGATATCAAGAGTAAGGCCTTGCCTTGTGTGTATTTAAAAAAAAAAAACAAAGAGGAAAAAAGAGTAATTTCATTTCCATAGGCTTCCTTTCTGTGCAGATGGAATTAGGAATTATTACCTGGGATTTGCCAAGGTCTGGAGGGACTGCAGGAAAATTTCTCCCAAAACCCTGCTGCCCTCGTTGGGCTTCCTTAGCAGCACATGAAGAGCATGCTGCCTCCCCTGTCCCCCCTCTCCTGTCTCCCCTTCCCTGTCCCCCCTCCCCTGTCTCCCCTCCCCTGTCCCCTCTCCCTGTCCCCCAGCGTCGGGACCGACAGGGTGGGAGGTTGTGCGTGTGCGCGTTTTTTGTGTCCGTGGCTCGTGGGTGGTGCTGTCACGAGGCAAGGGGTTAATTTTGGGTTCTCCCTCTCCAACCCTTCCAGGCTCAGGCGTTTACATCACCCGGGGACAGCTGATGAATTGCCACCTATGTGCTGGTGTCAAACACAAGGTCCTTCTGAGACGTCTTCTGGCCACCTTCTTTGATCGGTGCGTGCTCTTCGTGCTCTCCCAAGGGACTGGGTTGATTTCCTGGTACTTTATCCGCATGAATAGATGTTGTGTCAACCGTGCTTCATCCTCTGTACGTGCTGCACTGATTTCTCTGCTTTTTCTTGAACCTGAGCACAAGGTTTTCCAATTCCTTTCCTTAAAACCGTGTAACGTGGCGACCCCTCCGTAAGGACGTAAAGGGACGAGGAGAGGGCAGTGGCTGTCCCCTGCTGCCCCCCTGTAAGGATCTCCCTTTGCCTTTCCTGCAGGAACACACTTGCCAACAGCTGTGGAACTGGAATCAGGTCCTCGACCAGCGATCCCAGCAGGAAGCCCCTGGACAGCAGGGTCCTCAATGCAGTCAAATGTAAGGAGAAGGGGTTTGCTGCTGCTCTGGCAACCCTGAGCAGGGGAAGGTCGTGTCTGTCGTGTAATGATGGGAACTAAGTGGGATGAAATGAGTTTATAGGGAAAATGATTTCTTTTTTATTTTGTGGGGCTGAACTTAACTTTGGCTGGGTTTTGGCAGTGTGTTAATATAAAGCATTATTGCTTCTTGACCGTTCTGCTGTGTTTTAAAGCACTAATTTTGCAGTTCATTATTCTACTCGTAGATGCTCTAAGAAGGAAATTGAAATATGGTTTTGGCAACATTCAGAGCTTGGTGCCACTGAAAGAGGCCGTCTCTGTTTGATGCCCCCAGGCTCTGGCTGGCATTTGGGTCGGTCGGAGCGTGGGGCTCTGCCAAGTCCCCTGGTTTGCAGGAGCAGAGTGTGTGGCTCCCGTCCACCTCCCAGCAGCTCCCAGAGGTGCTGCCCTGCTCTGCCTGGGCCGTGGTGCCCTTCTGGGCTTTTGGGGCTGCTTGTCCTAGGCAGTAAATGGCCCCCAGAAGTCAGGGAATGCACTGGCTGCTGCAGTGTAGTACCGCAGTACTCCCTGGCAGTGTGGGAGGATCTGCTCTCCCATCTCGCCGGCAGATTTGCTTTTACTTTGGCAGGCTATTTCCTGGAATATATGTTGTAGCTTATTTTTTTTTTTATGAAATAGGTAAGATGGGAGCCCTGCTGCAAATAATTGCCTTTTTAAAAGATTGCATAAGGCAACAGGAGCTTTTGTTTTGACCGTTTGAACTGCAGACAGAGTTCTGCACCGTGCCGACGCAGCTCGACTGCTCGGTCAGTCTGTCTGTGGAGCTGCTGAGCTCTCAGAGCCAGGGGTACAAAAGGTTCTGACACCCCCACTGCTCTCCTCTGGGCGAGATCCCCTCTGCTCAGGTGACTACACAGCACCCTGACCGTAGCCAGGGCTGGGGTGTGCAGGGTTATACCTGCTCCAGTGGGCTCATCTGTGCCCAGCGCCTGGCAAACGTTTACACAACAAAAGGAGTTTTGCTCCTTCCAGCCAGGGAGTTTAATTCTTTAGGGCAGGCACTAGAAACAAACCAGTTAAATATTCAGCTCTTGCAGCCACCCTTGGATACAAGGAGCGTGCTGCTGTGTGAGGGCCTTGGTGGTGTAGGACACCCTGATGGGTTAGTGCAGCCAAGCCTGTTTAGCCTGGGTTTGAAATGCAGTGGAAAGCAACGTGTGCTCTCACCCTCCCTGGATTCTGGGTAGTAAATCTGTATGTAAATATTATTATGCTGGAAAATGAAACTCTAAGCATTTTTTTTTTTAAAACGTATTTTTTGTTTTTAAGATTTGGAAGATAAATCTTTCCTCTCCCTAATCGTTGCTGTGCTGCTGAACTCCAGGGGCCTTCCAGCCACCCTCTGAGATCTGTAGCACGTGGAGAGAAAGGATAAGATGGCACATGTGTGATACATAAAGATGAAATCACTAGACTGTGCTGGTGGTGCTTGCCTGTAGCTTGTGTGTGGTGCTCTCCTGAGACAACCTCCCTGTTAGCAGCTTCACCCTGGAGAGCCCCAAGTCTGCACCTTCCAGCCCTGGTACTTGCAAATAGTTTCAGAGATTGGAAGGGCATCGCTGTCCAGTGACAGTGCCCATGACATGCTGTCATCTGTCAGGGCATAAGATGAGTTCTTACAGCCCGAGTTGTACCCCACACAGAAGCTTTCATGGGTAATTCCTCACCATGGCAGTTCCTTAACTTCAGGTGTTTGGCCCCTGTGGAGGAGCTCTGCTGCAGATGAGGTAGTGCTGGGCTTCTGCAGGGTACGTGCCAGCTGCTGTGCTGGTGGTGGGACCCTGGTCAGGCTGGAAGTCCCTGCAGTGCTGGCTGGCCCTGCAGTGCCCAGCATGAGCTGCGGGACAGGCACAGGATAGTCCTTTGGGTGGTCTGTGCTTGGTCAAGAGCAGCTCAGACATTTTCCAGCCCCACAACTGTGCCTGCACCCCTGTGGCTTTAAGAGCCATTCATGGATCTACTGTTGAGGAGCTTTGTGTTGGGGAGTTGCCCTTTTCTGTGCCCATCTCTGGTTTTGGCCATCCTAGCGTGCTAAAAACATTTCAGCTGGAGGCTGGGTCCTGCAGGCAGGACCTGGATTCTGAGGGAGGGAAGGAGTGCTCCTTCTCCAGCTCCCTTCCCCATGCCTTCTGGCTTTGTCCCTTCTCAATTGCCTCTATCTCGAGCTGAGGAGCCCTTGCCTGTAAGTCTCTCCTTGTGAGAGCTCTGGCCCAGAGGTGAAACCCCACCCCATGGCATCTGCCCGCGCGGCGGGTCTCTAGGACAGGGCAGAGGCTGCGACCGTGCAGCTGCCTTTGTATTGCTTTCTCTGAATCCTCAGCTCTGTGTATCCCTGTCTTTGCAGTGTATTGTCAGAATTTTGCCCCGAGCTTTAAGGAAAGCGAGATGAATGTTATAGCAGCTGATATGTGCACCAACGCCCGCCGCGTCCGCAAGCGCTGGCTGCCGAAGATTAAATCCATGCTGCCAGAAGGGATGGAGATGTACCGCACGGTCATGGGCTCCACCACAAACAGTGTCCCCCTGGATCCTGAATTCCAGCCCAACACTGCTCAGGTCTTTGAGCAGCGCATCTATGCAGAAAGGAGGAGCGATGCAGGAACTATAGTAGCCTTGAGAACTAACACGGTGAACGTAGAGCTAAGCAATGGATCCAACCAGTCCTTCGAACAGAGCGAGGAGGCTGAAGGGGCTGGCTCTGTGATACAGGAGGCAGCTGCCACAGAGCCTGTGGCATCGGATACCCAAAGCACTCCTCAACCTTTCGAACAAGGTTCGGGCTCCTCCAGCCGGCCCGAAACTCCCGTGAGAAGACAAGATGGTACTTACGGAGGGACTTTATAAAGAGAGCAAACGTCTCCTGACCTATAAGGGATCTGTAATACTAAAGCTGCTTGCATGCGTTACTAATACAAAACAAAAAAATGTGATCAAGCCACTTACCTACTGAACTGCTACTGTTGCCTGAAAAAAATGTGATTTTTATTCTGCTTGTATTTAAAATTTATGAAGGAAATAATCGCATTCGTTATACTGTAAACGACTAGGTCTGTGGCGACCTACTTAAAACAAAAATATTGGGCTCCTTTTTTGATATTCCTGAGGTTAGTCGATAAGATTGTAGCTTTTTCTTTTTTTTTTTTTCCCCTTTTTTTTTTTTTTTTCCTTTTTTAAATTTTAAGAAGGGGAGGAGAAAAGCTAGCCACCACCCCCCCCAACCCAAGCACCCTCACCCCCGTCATCTCCACCCCATCCATTTCTCAGCTCAGAAGTAAAGCCATCGTTAACCTTGTCCTCTAAAGGAAGTTTTACTGTCACTTAACAGGAAAGCGAGGCGTGGGAGGGTCTGAGTGCTGCGGCCCGTGGTGTTCCTCTCCAGGAGAAGGGCTCTGGCCAAGTGGGACAGGGTGGGGGAAATTGTTCAGGGCTTCTGGTGCCGGAGGGTGCTGCGGTGCCGTGGTGGTCCCGGGGAGTTTTATCT